TTTCCTCATCAGGAAAAACCCATCCTCTAGCCTCATTTATTTTGCGTTGTTTCATTGATACCTCAATATTACAATCAAGTTGTAATTTTTTTATATATGAAACTTCTATATTATCTTCAAATGTACGTAATTTTCGTGGATTTTGCTCAAAGGATGAAAACTGAACAGGTTCAACAAAATAAGGAACTTGTAGAGAATGAGTATATCTATTTAATGTATGGTACCCATTTCCTTGAAGAGAATATGATGGCATTGGTTCTGGGGTAGGGGAAAGCCAATTGGATGAGAAAGAGAATAAGAAAAGAAGGATAAGAGGTAAAAGTTGAAAAAATGTAAGTAATGGGGAGCTATGTTGTTCTCGAACGCCTTCTCCATTTGGTGATGCTCTACGTGGTTGAAACCTCCGTGCACTGAATCCTGGTCCAACAAAAGTCGCTGAATGAAAACCTATAAAAGAATAAAGATATTATAAGATATAATAAATTTGATAAAACCTATATAAATTATATAAAATTATATAATATTATATAATATTACATACCATCTCCACCGAAAAACATATTAAATATTTCTTCTGGAGAAATTTCATCAGTATTATATACAGCACCGTTTGCAAATCCACTATTAAAGCCTCTAAAGCTAGGTGGTATCCCGTTACTTCTAGAATCTGGGTCAGCACCATGCTCATCAAATATTGCACGCTTTTGCGGATCACTGAGTATTTGGAAAGCTTTGCTAATCACTAATTAATTATTATAAAAATAATTTTAATTTAATATTAAAATCAACGCGTAATAAGAATGAAAAAAAAAAATTAAAAGAAAATGTTTGTGAATTACTAACTTTTGAAAGCTTCATCAGCACCAGGAGCAGCATTTTTATCAGGATGCATTTGTAAAGCCAACTAAGTTGCGGAATTATGAAAGATTTTTTTTTTTTAGCAATTATTGCATAAATAATGAAATTACTTTCTGAATGGATTGGAAAACATCCTAAAAATAATTCAAGCGTAATTCTTAAAAAGATAAAAAAAAAAAAACTAGATTATAATAATAATGGATATATTTTTATCTAACCTTTCGATACGCCTTTTTAACGTCCGAATCATTAGCATCTTTGTTTATTCCT